CTGTCATTCTGGCAAAGGATTGTGTCAACATATTCGCAGATCCGCTACGTTTTACGGTACGTGTTTATTTCCTTATTTCTTTAGGTTCATTCGTTTTCAACATCTTATTTGGGACAGTTTGACATTAATCACTTGAACTCATTATTTTATAGTTCAACAAACTTTGTATGTGTGTATGTAACTACCAAGTGCATTATCACATCGCAAACATTTACCGTTTTCAATACCTTAGATTATTGTATTTTCGATAGGTTTAAATTGACAATGAAGAATATGGAATTTCTCCTAGCATTTCTTTAGAAAGTCACGCTCTTTAAGTCGTTTGTTGTGACATACATGTAATAATTTCTGTTTGATTAAATAAGTCAAAATGATATGGCATAATCTTTTTTGGATATGCAAAGCCTTTACGTAAAAAAAACTGTATCGTTTTGCTGCAAATTGTTTGGAAGATGCTATATTTGTTGAAATTATTGTATTTCTGATGTATGAAGCAATTCATTTATTGTTTAATTAGTACCATTTCACTTTGAACGCGTCGGAAATGAAAAGGCAAGTAGAGTTGGTCTGTGTTCTGTCGAATCTGTTTGTGATCCAACAAGAACGAAATCGGAATTCACGTCTAACAATATCGGCAGAACACTGATGTTTGTTCGATTTGGTAACGTGTTTATTCAGTTCAACAAGTAAATGTCCATCTATGCAAATGGGCCTTGTTTAACATATTGAATTGTACTAAATAAACCACTGTACTAGTAGAGATAGCGTTTACCGCGCCGTTTCCAGTATTTCATGAAAATACTTTTTAAGCACTTCCTACATATTTTTAAAGATGTTTCGTTCACGAAACCGCGTGCTGAAATAAATATGTCATTAAATTTCAAGGCCTGTCTGACTGTATATAGAATGATAGAGCGATCTTCGAAATGACGCAGCATAAACTTTTTGCGATACATCATTAGTATTTATACGAAAAAAATCATAAATGTTTTCGTAGTCAAGTTTAGAAGTTCACAATGTTCAGGTTACTGTGTTTCCTAGTTATCGTCAGTGTGGCAAGTGGTGCTAATATTTTCGCCATATTTAGTGTGCCATCAATAAGCCATCAACTGGCATTTCAGCCGATATGGCGAGAACTGTCCTTGCGAGGTCATAAAGTGACCGTAGTCACTCCTAATCCTTTGAAAGATCCGACTTTGACAAATCTAACAGAGATCGATGTTAGTTACGTCTACCGTAGTGCTTCATTGCAATTTTTATTAGACAATCCTAATCTTCTACCAGATCAAGTCATGAGTATGGCTGCTGAGAATTATATAAAACCTATAATTGAAAGTCAGTTGAATGATTCAGCTGTAAGAAAAATCCTTAAATATAAAAATTCACATTTCGACTTGGTAATATCCGAAATGATTTGTTCTCCGGCTTATGGTTTTGCATACAAGTTTAACGTTCCTTTGGTGGGAATGATGTCATTACCTGACGTATCATCAGCGTCTTTGGCTGTAGGAAATCCTTTACATCCCGTTCTAAATCCTGACACTGTACTGGGATATGGCAGGATTCTGTCATTCTGGCAAAGGATTGTGTCAACCTATTCGCAGATCCGCTACGTTTTACGGTACGTGTTTATTTCCTTATTTCTTTAGGTTCATTCGTTTTCAACACTTTATTTACGACAGTCAGACATTAATCAACTTAACTTGTTATTTTATAGTTCAACAAACTTTGTATGTATGTATGTAACTACAAAGTGCATTATCATATCGCAAACATTTACCGTTTTCAATACCTTAGGTTGTTGTATTTTTTTAGAAATGTCTCGCTCTTTCAGTCTATTGTGACATACATATAACAATTTGTGTTTGATTAAATAAGACAAAATGATATGCCATAAACTTTTTTTGATATCCAAAGGCTTTACGTAAAAAAAACTCTATCGTCGTGCTGCAAATTGTTTGAAAGATGCTGTATTTGTTAAAATTATTGTATTTCTGATGTATGAAGCAATTCATTTATTGTTTAATTATTACCATTTCACTTTGAGGGCGTCGGAAAAGAAAAGGCAAGTAGAGTTGGTCTGTGTTCTGTCGAAACTGTTTGTAATCCAACAAGATCGAAATCGAGATCCACGTCTGACAGTATCGACAAAACACTAACCACCATAAACTTCTTTGTTCGATTTGGTAAAGTGTTTATGGGGATTCAGTTTAGCAAGTAAAGGTTTTTTTATGTAAATTGGGCCTTGTTGAACATGTTGAATTCCACTAAATATAGTACTGTACTAGTACAGATAGCGTTTACCGCGCCGTTTGTAGTATTTCATGAAAATACTTTTCAAGTACTCCCGGTATATTTTTGGAGATGTTTCGTTCACGAAACCGTCTGCTGAGATAGACGCTTAAATTTCAAGGCCTACCTCATTAAACAAAGTGACAAATTAATCCGCGGAATGACATTGCATAAACATTTGCGATACTTTAAGTATTTATATAAAAAATCGTTAATGTTTTCGTAGTCATCTGTAGATGTTTGCAATGTTCAGATTGTTGTGTTTCTCTATTATCGTCGCCGTGGCAAATAGTGCGAATATTTTTGCCATATTTAGTGTACCTTCCATAAGCCATCAACTGGTATTTCAGCCGATATGGCGAGAATTGTCCTTGCGAGGTCATAAAGTGACCGTAGTCACTCCTAATCCTTTGAACGATCCGACTTTGACAAATCTTACAGAGATCAATGTTAGTTACGTCTACGGTACTGTTTCTTTACAATTTTTAATAGACAACAGTAATCTCATGCCAGATCAGCTAGTTAGTATGAGTGTAGATCATTATGTAAAACCTTTAATTGAAAGTCAATTGAATCATTCGGATGTAATGAAAATTCTGAAAGACAATAATTCACATTTCGATTTGGTAATTTCTGAAATGATTTGTTCTCCTGCTTTTGGATTTGCATACAAATTTAACGCTCCTTTGGTGGGAATGCTGTCTTTCTCGGATTTGTCCGCAGCATTTCTCGCTATAGGAAATCCCTTACATCCTATTCTAAATCCTGACATGTTACTGGGATATGGGAAGCAGTTATCATTCTGGCAAAGAGTTATGTCAACATATTCACAGATCCGCTACGTTTTACGGTATGTAAATATTTACTTATTTCTTTTGGTTCATAATTTGAATGATTTTTTTGGCATTTTTGAGATAGGTGCTCATCTACTAATTTTCAAATTTGAGGTTGTATAAAGCTAGGCTTCATTAGGGTTCCTTAACCCTTAATAAATCCGCAGTAAAATTATGGCCAGAATTTTGGTTTACTTAATGTTAAAATTTTTATGTTTACATTTATAATACTTCGAATAACGATAATGTCCCAATTTGTTTAAAAGCACGTCTGTATCATACACTCAATCAGAGAGATAACGTCGATTTTTAATTAAGCGAGTTTAAAAATACTAACAATATCATTTTTATACGTCGTTACCGTTCGCAATTTTATTAGACAATCCTAATCTTCTACCAGATCAAGTCATGAGTATGGCTGCTGAGAATTATATAAAACCTATAATTGAAAGTCAGTTGAATGATTCAGCTGTAAGAAAAATCCTTAAAGATAAAAATTCACATTTCGACTTGGTAATATCCGAAATGATTTGTTCTCCGGCTTATGGTTTTGCATACAAGTTTAACGTTCCTTTGGTGGGAATGATGTCATTACCTGACGTATCATCAGCGTCTTTGGCTGTAGGAAATCCTTTACATCCCGTTCTAAATCCTGACACTGTACTGGGATATGGCAGGATTCTGTCATTCTGGCAAAGGATTGTGTCAACCTATTCGCAGATCCGCTACGTTTTACGGTACGTGTTTATTTCCTTATTTCTTTAGGTTCATTCGTTTTCAACATCTTATTTGGGACAGTTTGACATTAATCACTTAAACTCATTATTTTATAGTTCAACAAACTTTGTATGTATATATGTAACTACCAAGTGCATTATCACATTGCAAACATTTACCGTTTTCAATACCTTAGATTATTGTATTTTCGATAGGTTTAAATTGACAATGAAGANATATTTTTGTCTTGTTTATCCAAATTTGATAGCTATTAACCGATATAAAAAGGATAATGCTTTAGCGTAGATTTGTCTACGAATTTGTGCATTATTCAGTTGGTTATGACAAAAAAAACACTTTTTGGAATTTTCTGAATAATTCAAGTTGGGATTATAATTTTTGGTAGATGCTATTGTGTATCCAGCTTTAACATCTGACTTCTTTTTCAATCATGATAATACCATAATCAGATCCAATTTCATTTTAAGTATGATGATCCGTATGTTTTGCAAAACAAATTTCAAATACAAATTTGTTATCAAATTGCGTTATGAACTCTTATCAGATAGGACTGCTCACTTGGAACATTTATATAACACCTCCCCATTCGAGTGATAACCAC